ATATATATATACACACACACACACACACACACGCACGCACGCACGCACGCACGCACGCACGCACGCACGCACGCACGCACAATAGAGAGACTACCGTCATCGATTGAATGTTGAAATGTTGAATGCTGAATGTATAAAGAGTGTTGTTTGAAGGAGGGAATAATTTGTTTTTAAAAATTTGCTACTTCGATGACATCTCCACTATGAAAAACACTAACTCCGAGCTATTTGGACTCATGTTAAGACAATTTTAAAGAATTAGGTTATTTTTACTCCAAAATGTGTCCGGGTAGTTTGGAATAATGCAAACCAGAAGCTCTGATGGCTCCGAATTATTCTACCGGATATTATGTAACATGTTGTTGTGCACATAGTCCATAAAATGTACGTCATGACAAAGAAAATAAAATATCAGAAGAATTGGGTTCTTTCCATACATACTAAATTTGTTGGGATTAAGGTATATTAATGAAGGGCTTTTAATTGTATTTTCAAAAACAATTTTCTCAAAAACATGTCTCGGTAGGGTACTTTAAATCAGTATTAGTCCATCACTTCAGCCCAGATTTACATGAAACGTGCATCATTATATTCTTTAACTTCTGCTCTTTCCCCACACACAAAAAAAAGCCTCATTTTGTCTCAGAACATCACATATACATTGAATCATATGAACATAAATAACTGCTAGACGCATTCAACAAGTCAGAACCAGATAAAACGTTTGTGTAAAACAACTATAAATATATAAATAGTTTTGTATTCAACAAATATTTTAAAGGGTATTAATTTACCAGTCATTGTCCCCCCCCAGAAGCACATGTATTGCCAATGTAATATAAATATAAATATATAAATAGTTTTGTATTCAACAAATATTTTAAAGGGCATTAATTTACCAGTCATTGTCCCCCCTGAAGCACATGTATTGCCAATGTAAGGACCCGCCTTCCCTGAGTCTCTCATTACATAACAGGTAGGGAAACAAACAATTACCAATTACATCACTGCGCAAAAGTTTCAGGTCTCTATGGAAAAGTAAGGAAGTATCTTGGAGTGTTTGTATTCATGTGATGATGACTCATTGGTCAAAATCAAAACAGACAAGTCTTCATTTATTTAGCATATGTGAACTGCTCGGCCTCATTACGTGTCACTGAACTCCTGAAGGATGCTCATGCTGCTACTAAGGAAAGCGTGAGAAACACAAGAGGCACTCGTGCATACTTCTCTCCTGATGCCCTGATTCTGCTCTGTCTTCAGGAAATTGAGCAGCACCTCGAGAAGGGAAGGGTATTTTCGGTAGGGCTCCACCACATAACCTGTGCTGGCCACCTGTTGGCCTAAAGTCCAAAGCGCCACCTGGTGGAAATTCAGATGCAGATTTAATAAATGTGTTGATCAGTTTTTAATTCTATAAATACTAACTCAATATTTTAACTTCAGCACACATTTATTTTTTCCCCACAAAAAAACTGCTGTTGTTTGCTTACTATAAGAGGAACATAATGACAATACCAAGTTCATACCTGTCGCTTGGAGCGCCACCTGGTGGAAATTCAGATGCAGATTTAATAAATGTGTTTGTATTGATCAGTTTTTAATTCTATAAATACTAACTCGATGTTTTAACTTCAGCACACATTTTTTTTGCTTACTATAAGAGGAACATAATGACAATACCAAGTTCATACCTGTCGCTTGGCTAATGACGACGAGTCCTGCAGCATGTCCATGATAATAGGAAAAAGCTCATCCATCCACTTCCTCATCTCCAGACCGCTCACCTAGACAAGAGATCATCGGGGATACATCACATTTATTTCCCTTTGGTGTCCTCTCAAATTATTTTGGAAGAATTGCTTTTGCTAATTGGGCTGCATACATTTTCCTCATTTGACACTTCCTTCCTTTGGACAAATCAATCTTACAGTATGTTCCAAGTGTTTGCATTAAATACCCAAAATAAAGCAGCTGAAATATACTGTTTGTGTATTCTACAGCACAGACTTCCAAAGATAAACTTTTGTCTTGTACAATTATACTAGAATACATGCATATAGTCAACTCTTGTCTTATTATTTCATAAAGCTGGCAAGTTAAAGTTTTCATTTTATGGTCACCCTTTTTTTTTTCAGCTTGGTTTGGTAAAGCAGCTGAAATATACTGTTTGTGTATTCTACAGCACAGACTTCCAAAGATAAACTTTTGTCTTGTACAATTACAGTAGAATACATGCATATAGTCAACTCTTATCTTACTATTTCATACTGCTGGCAAGTTAAAGTTTTCATTTTATGGTCATACTCTTTTTTTTTTTTCAGCGTGGTTTGACTCCAGTTAGCTCCTTCTGCTGCCTACTTTGAAGTCTTGTACATGACTTGGACAAGAGTGCCTCAAGCCTTACCTGAGCCAACTCGCCAATGGTGGCTAGGACACTGATAACCACTCCAGGATTGGGGTCTGGGTCTTTCAGTTTGAGGATTAGAGCCTGAAGAAGGCAGAGGGGATTTTTAGTGACAAAGATGATATAATGAGGTATTCCAACAATTATCTGTTCCAGAAGTCTGGTTAATTTTAAAGCCATATGCACCTTCATAATGGCAAATTTGAGTTATACCTTGAGAATGGGCTCCATGTAGGGCCGTATGAGGCGGGGGGCGTTAGACACCAGATGACCGAGCATACGGGCACTTTGCTCTTTGTTTCTGCCAACCCCACTGTGCTCCAGCTCTGTTAAAATCTGAAGCAAAATCAACAAATGAAGCATACTTCATTTTTTAAACATTAAACATCAGTGTAGAACAACATATGCTTGTGAAAGATTCTATAAAAATGAAAATTGGTGATGAATGAACATTTTTTCAGAGAAGTTTATATTTCAGGACATTTTTATGGAGTAACATTTTCTCCTCCTCCTAAGTATATGGGTCCCCGTGCTTCATCTCTGTATATTACATTGGTGGCAGGATTATACCAGTATTTATTTTATTTTTTTTTATCGAATTTGTTATTTTTGCACTGCGGTGGCAGGATTATACCAGTATTTATTTTATTTTTTTATCGCATTTGTTATTTTTGCACTCCACTTCTGTGGTTTACACTTTCTTGCACTTAAGATACTGTACTTAAATTTCCTCCTTGCAGTATTTGATAGATTTGTATTTACTGCCCTCTATAGGTGTTCAACAGGCACAGCAAGTGAGGAACATTAATGAGGTTGATATGCATGACATTTCAGAATATTTGTAATACTGAAAGATTATGAGAGGAATCCCTTTTCTTTAATTCAGTGCCAATCTCTTAGCATTCACAAAACTTTTTGGGCTCAACGTCTCCAACCTGAATGAGCATCTTGCGTAAGAAGGGCATGACAAAAGCCGGGTTCATGCTGCTGAGTCGTCCGATTGTACAGATAGCCAATTCTCTGATCTCAAACACTTCATCATTCAGAGCCACAAAGAGCGCTTGCAGGTTTTCCGCCTGGGCAAGGTGGGCATCAAAGCGCTCGTCCAGAGACGCCAGCACACAATACCGTATGTCTGGATCTGAAGAAGGATGGTGACAGATGAGATTGAATGTTTCGATCATGGTCATCCTCAGTGGAAGACTGTCAGAAGTTACCTGGATCTGTAATGCCAACCACGAGAAGTTTACTCAGCACATCTGCAACAACCTGTACCGCCGTCTGGCTCACAACGTGGCCGCTGATGGGGTGTATGGAGGGAGTGAGGAGACGGGAGCAGGTGCGAGCTGCCTCCATTCGGATCTCTTTGTGCTCACTGTTTAAGAAGTGGTCGGCACAGTGTCGCACAAACTGAGTGAGGGAGTGTCCTGATGAAAAATCACAGTGCGAGCTGTATTCATCCAAACAGCGTGCTTTTAAAAAAAATAGCAACTGCATTTCAGTGCCCTGAGAAATGAATGACCTGGAATATTCACAAGCATTTTCTCTCGACTCGAGAGTGCAACATAAAATGTGGAAAAATGCAAATGCTGTGACTACTTTCTGTGGAATCACTGTATAAACACTGCGGCTTGACAGTGATGTTTGCCAAGATGTTTAATTATCAATTGCAATAACTTGACCTTCATGGACCGCGTCAAACTTTTCATCCACATTGGGTACGGTCTTCTCTCTGCAGTTCTCAAAATGTAGCCAAGACTCCACCAACCAGTTTAACTGTGTCAATGTCTTGGCTCTTACCTTCAAACTCAAAGCTTCCTAGAGTGCGCAGCGCGAGTGTGATGCTGCCAACATCACTGGCCTCTGGGATGTTGGTAAGGCTTGGCGACGCAAGTTGGTGAGCCAAGCCTTTGGGCATGCCTGGGTGGCGTAACGGCTTGTGCATCAAAACCAGTGAGAGCATCTTCAGAAGCCCATCCTGTATGTCCTTTTTCAACTGCGGGATCTGACGACTCAGATCATACAACACCGCCGTCAGGGCAGGACTGGACAAATAGAGGACAAGTTCAAGTTATTGGATAAAACCTACAGCTGTGACATTTTGATGAACTGAAGAAAAAGAATAATTTGTGAATTTTCTTGGCACACAACACAACAAACAAAGCACAAGGTCTTTGGTCTGGCTATTGGAAAATTAAAAAAGTCAAGTGACTGCCTAAATTATGCATATACTGAAGACTATCAATGTTGCCAAAGCTGCGCTTTGTGAAAAAAAAACTTCATACCTTTGAGAGCATTTGTTGGGTTTTTTTTAAAGCACTTTATTCAAAATTCAACAACTGAAAAACTTAAAATTCAACAATTTCAAGCATCCAGAACACATGTAGCTATATACTGTATACACAATAACAGATTGCAGTGTGTAATACCTGAGGCCCACAGCCAGCATGGGCTCCAACAGCTCCTTGATGTCTGGCTGGATGCTTGGACCCATAGCTCTGGAAAGCATGCTGATACATGTGAACACAGTGGCGTCCACCTGGATGGACTTCTGTCTCCTGCACATGACAGATGGGAAAGGGAAATCATTGATCCTTTAAGTCCCCCAACATGACCGAATACAAACAACAACAACGACATCAAATTATTACTGAAAGCAGGAGTGCCCAACTAGTCGATCACGGTCAACTGGATAATCGTGAAATGCACCCAATTCGACCACGGTGAGTGTAGGTGAGAGAGGGGGGGAAAAGGTTTTGGGGTGTGTGTGCATGTTAATATTCTTACATATTTTTTTTGTTTGTGTACACTACAACCTGTACAACCTATAAATCTCAAGTCCACAAAAAAGTATGAAAAAAAGTAGGGCATCTAACCTATGGTATATATTTGTGTGCGTGTTCTCATTCAAAGCTTGTTTGTTTGATCCGCAACGCAACAATGGCAAGAATGCAAATCTAGAGCGGCATTTTAAAATGGTGCATGCGAGCCGTGACAGGGATGTTTCTGCAAAAATGGCTTTATGCACTCCAAAAGTGCATCCAGCCTCCGCTTCCCAGTGTCAGTTCTCCCAATGAAGGCACGCAGTGATTTTCTGACTTTGTAAGCCAAATCAGAACATACCATAATATGTCACTAAACTACCTCGACACAGTACTAAAGTCAAAATTTCAGTAAATATTTGCAGGAAAATGAACATTCCTATGCCACGAATATAAAACAACTGACAAGAGTTTTTCAGCGCTGCAAAAACTAGGTCACTGCACAACTTTGGTAACGGCGAAAGGTCATATGCTAGGAACAATATTAATTGAAGACCCCCTTTACTGACTTATGAGCGAAGTCCTTGGGTGGTAGAGCCGCCTTTATAATCTCCAGAATCTTGGAAAGATACGGCTGTATTTCAGATCGGACTGCCACCACCAGTAAGCCCAGAGCTTGAAAGGCTGCTGTTCGCTCCTTCTCCTTTTTTAGACTGCCCAGTAGGTAGCCCATCGTGTCGGACAGATATTGGTCTGTAATGCACATGTAAATATTACATTATAAAACCTGTGTGTGGGCTCAAACACTAAGAAGTCATGAGAAAACAGTGAGGCAAAATTAAGTTGCAACTTGCTGTCTATCAGCAAGGTTACTGCACTGACAGAGAGAAATCATTCAAAACACATAAATAAATAAAATAAAATTTGCGCCCAAGTACTGACAGAGAGAAATCATTCAAAACACATAAATAAAATAAAATTTGCGCCCAAGTGTTTAAAAATGGTTTCTTTAGTGCTTATCCTACTCCGTATACTATCCCAGCTGAATTTGGGCAAGGGATGGCAAATACTCAGCCAATGGCATAAACAGTATCAAACTCATACCTGTGGACAATTTATAGAGTTTCAATTAACGTAAACAGTTTTCCCACCGCCCATTAACAGAAATTGATGGCATTGCGAATATCACTTTGCCAAACCTAGAAAACAGGTAAACTAGGAAGTTCCCAATGCGAGTTAAGGCCTCTTTGATGCCAATTTCTATTGACAGAAAACGTGTCGATTGATCTGATTCATTCTTATTCCACAAATATTAATCTGAATATTGTGCTCAGACGAGTGGGGGCACATACAACATATTATTTAACACATCTTTTCTTTTTCATTTCCACTTTTAAGTGAAATAAGATGATCTTTCACACCACATTAAGGTGCAATGGCAGACTTAACATGCGTATTTCTGGCCGGAATACCCTGAGAATACTAATGCAAGCACAGGGAGAAAGGGGAAACTCCACTGGAGAAATGTGAGGCAAACATACGAATCTATGAGGTCATCGTACTAATTACAGTATAGCATGTTGCCCACTACAGGTAAACCAAAGTAAACTTGGGTCATAATATTACAAGGACATTCATTATATCATAGCCATTCCTTCTCTGAGGTTTTGACAGAAAATAGTGCAAACTACCCAGATGGTTAAATTGTTTATTTTTGTACTTATTTACATTTTTTTTTAAATTTAAATATGAATTCAACCCACCAGTAAAAGTATGCGGCTGGAAGGCACCAAGCCGTGGCAGCAGATTTAGCGTAGTCATCTGGATGAGGGGATTTTTACTAGTTCTGTATTTGAGCACCCATCGACACACCTGGGGGGAAAAACAAACAATGGCAGATTATATTCACAATTTAAAATTGAAAGATCATCCTCCTTACGAAACAATTGTGAAAATCCATGCAACTGTGAACCACCCTGAGATCAATTCAAATTAAAGTGTCAGCTGTCTTTTGGAAGAGAGCTGATTTCAGAACTTTATCCCCATTGAACAAAGAAATTTGATTTTTGGCCGATGTTGAGCTCTCAGGCTCTGTTGAAATAAGAAATGTGAGTAAGACACAATACATGTATAATGGTGGCAGATTACTTTAAATCCATTTACGGTATACGTATACAATTTCAGCGTGGCAACAACAACAAGAGCAAAATATGAAAGAAAAAAAATGGTGAAACTAACCTGATCAAAACGCTCTTCCATGAGCTCACGGCAGTATCTGCTCTCCACCAGTGAGCTCTTAGCGGGTACCGGTGTAGCTCCAAAACTGAGGAAGCCCTGCGGCGTGTTGTATCCCAGCAAGCCCAGGAGAGCATTGGACTGTTGTGGCTGCACCGACTGGAAGCTGGTGAAAGGAGTGATGTGGCGGGGCTTTGTTCCGAAGCCCATGAGCTCCTTGCAGTACTTATCGTGCACCAGCTGCTGCTGCGTTATCTCCTCCATTTCCTCACGCATGCGCTGATGAATGATTATAGTCAGTATCCGTATGTGGTAGCCGATAAAATCAAATTACAACAAACCCTTGGAATCAAAAGTCCTATTATGAAACATCACTTGCAATCACTAAACTGCAGTAAACTTACTGAGAGAGTGCCTCACCTCTCCTTCCATGCTGCTGATACGAACCAGCTCATTCAAGATGAGAAGCGCACCGTGGAACCTGTCGTCCCGATTCATGCCTTTCTCTTTAGCCAGGGTTTCGTCAAAGCCCTTCTCTGCCTCGTCAAAGGTTTGCTGTCACATACAAGAAATCATTAGCTTTACAACACTTCCATTAAAAGATGATTTGAGTGGATACGATGATCGCCCATACTTTGTACCACTGTGGTTTCTGCATTTCTTTTGTCTCCCTCTGCGTGGTGAGAATGAGACAGGCCCGCAGTGCAGACACAGCACCCTCTCGGATGGCCTGCTTGGGGTCCCAAACGGCGTAGAAGATGTTGTCAAAGAAGGGCTGCACTTGCTGAAAGAAGAAGGTTGGTGCACTCACAGCCAGTTCCCTCAGCACCAATACCTGAAATAGAAGACAGAAAATATTTTCATGCCATCATCACTTTTTTAATCCTCTCTCTCTCTCTACAGTGTATGTAAATACAACAGTGTTGCACCATTCATCTTCAAATACACAACAACATCAAGTGCACTGCAATGCTCACTTGAATGGATCCACCTCAAAAAATAAAATAAAAATCATATTCAACTTTATCTTTTAACCTATCACATCTATCTTTTCTTAGTGAACCTGAAAAATCTTCACCAAAAAAACACAATTGAAAACAACAACAATCCCCAATACAGACGCTCCCCAGGTAACGAACGAGATACGTTCCGAAGGATCGTTTGAGCTCCTTGCAGTACTTATCGTGCACCAGCTGCTGCTGCGTTATCTCCTCCATTTCCTCACGCATGCGCTGATGAATGATTATAGTCAGTATCCGTATGTGGTAGCCGATAAAATCAAATTACAACAAACCCTTGGAATCAAAAGTCCTATTATGAAACATCACTTGCAATCACTAAACTGCAGTAAACTTACTGAGAGAGTGCCTCACCTCTCCTTCCATGCTGCTGATACGAACCAGCTCATTCAAGATGAGAAGCGCACCGTGGAACCTGTCGTCCCGATTCATGCCTTTCTCTTTAGCCAGGGTTTCGTCAAAGCCCTTCTCTGCCTCGTCAAAGGTTTGCTGTCACATACAAGAAATCATTAGCTTTACAACACTTCCATTAAAAGATGATTTGAGTGGATACGATGATCGCCCATACTTTGTACCACTGTGGTTTCTGCATTTCTTTTGTCTCCCTCTGCGTGGTGAGAATGAGACAGGCCCGCAGTGCAGACACAGCACCCTCTCGGATGGCCTGCTTGGGGTCCCAAACGGCGTAGAAGATGTTGTCAAAGAAGGGCTGCACTTGCTGAAAGAAGAAGGTTGGTGCACTCACAGCCAGTTCCCTCAGCACCAATACCTGAAATAGAAGACAGAAAATATTTTCATGCCATCATCATTTTTTTAATCCTCTCTCTCTCTCTACAGTGTATGTAAATACAACAGTGTTGCACCATTCATCTTCAAATACGCAACAACATCAAGTGCACTGCAATGCTCACTTGAATGGATCCACCTCAAAAAATAAAATAAAAATCATATTCAACTTTATCTTTTAACCTATCACATCTATCTTTTCTTAGTGAACCTGAAAAATCTTCACCAAAAAAACACAATTGAAAACAACAACAATCCCCAATACAGACGCTCCCCAGGTAACGAACGAGATACGTTCCGAAGGATCGTTCGCTGGCTGAATTCGTACCTAAGTTGCTTCAGTGCTATATTTTGTATGCAATGTATGTTTAAGGCTTATATAAGTATGTTTAAGGCTTATATAAGTGTAATAAAATGAAGTTTAACATACTTTTGGAAGATGTACTCGAAGGCTTAAGGAGATGATGGAGGGGGAGAGAGTTCCGTCTCGAACTTCTTCATGGGGACAAGCGTTTCCTCCTCCTCCCCCTCCTCTCACAGCGCCTCACGTCGGTATTAGCGGCGGAAAGAAGTACTACAGTACTCGGAAAAAGGCGCGCAATACAAAATGTGACTGACAGCATCTCTGTCCGAGAACATTTTTCGACATACCTGTACCCGCAAAAATGTTCGTATGTACCGTTGTTCGCAACACGAAAGTTCGTAAAGCGGGGAGCGCCTGTATTGCCACTCACTGCAGCATGGCGTCTGCCTTCATTCCTGTCTGCTCCCAGCCACTCCAGCGCCCTCTTCACTTCAAACTCGACATATTCAGCTGTGAATGTGTCCCCTGCCATAGACAAGTGACCCATGGCTTTGGAAGCCATTTCCATCACCACTGGGTCACTGGAAGGTAGCAGGTTGCGCAGGTAATTGGCGAAGCGGCTGATCCTGGTGGCATTGCCTCCCTCAACTCCAATCAGACTGACTGTGGGGGAAAAAAAAATTGCTAGAGATAAAGTATTCCATAAAACACAACAAGCAGATGGGGAGTAATGTACTCTGGCAAGGTATCCATTTTCCTCATATAGTCAAAAGGGATGTTTGTTTATTCCGATTCACATTGTCTTTTGTTGGTCACTCAACATCATGGTCTGTGCGTATGAGTGTGACATCATGGACTTGATCTGTTCACATTAGAAGTAATGTTACCGAGTACATAAAAAAATTTGAATTGGGCGTAGCACTATTGGAGCATAAGCCATTTAAAAAAAAGGGGGGTGGGGGACCATACAGCATGACATATTTATTTGTGGAGGGGGGGGGGTGGACACAGCATAACTAAACGTTTACCTATTGCAAGAATCCCTCCTTTCTTCTCATTCACATCAGAGCTGGACACCAGCTCAAATATGTGGTGATTTAACTCATCATAGAATGTGGTAGCTTCATCTTGACTTAACTGTTGAAGACAAACAGAAACCAGTGTTTCCACAAACCATCACAAAACGCATAAATCAGCAACACAAACCCACTGTCAATAAATACATTCATATTAAGGACAAAATTAAACCAGCTGCAAGCCAAAACTAAGTCAATGTGGAGTTGGAGTCCCCGGTTTACAGGTATACTTACCTCTCTCAACTCTGTTGTCACATAGTGCTGCAGATCCTTGGCAGATTTGGCTCTGGTGTCTTCATTTCGACTCTTGAGCCCACTGACAAACTGCTGCAGCACAGTGGCTGTGCCTGACATGATCACCATTTCGATTGCCCGATCTCCATTTAAAAAAATAATCAAAAACGACATATATTCTGTGTTATAATTAGTTTAAAGTTGACTTGACAAGCAAGAATATTGAGTTTGATTGATTGCTTCACGGGTGCGTTACTCGACAGTACAGTAGATAGCTTCGTCTCTGGATTGTGGCTTGTGGTTAATAAATTTATCGTGACCGTAAAATGGAGTGGACGTAATCTCGAAAAATTATACACTCTTTGGCACATAGTAGATCTGAGATTAATGAATACCAATAGGTAAATAGCGATAGTTGTTTGTGTTTAGCTAACGTCAGCTATAGCGCTAACGTGAAGCAATCATACTCAATGTCGCAGACCTTTAAGATACATAATCACATGTAAATTGACTTACGTATTTACAGGCGCATAACCTATAAATTACTCGACTCTTGCAGAAAATCCTTCATGATACAACACTCAGGCTGCAGCTGGGTGTAAGTTTAGCTAGCTATTTTTTAGCCGGAGCCGGAGCTGACGTCCTGCAGGGTTCTTACGGGGGCTTAACGAGAATAGATGTTGCGCGTATCTTGCGCAGGCTACGCAATGCAGACTTTACCACTAAAAGATCAAAGATGCGCAATCGTAATCTGAATGCATTGATTTCTGATTTTTTAAAAATTCGAGATGAATAAACAGTAGAAATATTATAGCAATGGTGAAGCCTCGCACTTAGTAGCATGCTGATAGTTTTATTAAATTACGTGTTGCTCGTGATTTAGTGTGTCATGAGTGTGTACTTGATGTCTTCAGCATGACGTCTTTGATCCACTGGTGAAAAGGAAACTTTAATTCGCTCCTCTTTCATCTACAACTGCTTCAAACAACAAGGTGTATGCAGGAAAGTGGTTAAGATTGCACGATTGTCTGTGTTTTATGTGTTGTCTTGTATTATTTTGTCATTTTATGTTAACTTTTCTTTTGATGGCGTTGCGGGCACCCATAGCGGCTCCTCTTGTTGCATGTTGTCTTGAGAGGGAAGAAATGTCATCTGTGCTGTACAGCACATTTGACAATAAAGTTGTACTTGACTTGACTTGACTTGACTTGACTTGACTTGACTTGGAGATGGGAGAGGAAGAGAAACTTGACTTGACTTGACTTGACTTGACTTGACTTGACTTGACTTGACTTGACTTGACTTGGAGATGGGAGAGGAAGAGAAAGGAAAATCAAGGCATCAAAGGAATATTGCACATGAAAGGGTTGGTGTGACAATGGATTGGTAGATGGGTCAGGAATGTGGCAACTGGTTCAGGGTGTCCCCCACCTACTGCCCGAAGACAGCTGGGATAGGCTCCAGCACCCCCGCAAGCCTTGTGAGGAAAAATCGGATTGGAGAATGGATGGTTGGATGAATTATTTTGAGGGGAATATACAGGAGTGTTTAATTTTCAGCAGCATTAACCCATTTCAGCCCGAATATTGCATTCGTAATAGCTAATGCAAGTACTTTTAGTGTCAGTTTGTGATAAGACCAGTGTTTGTTTTATATGTGATGTGATTTTGCAGAAGCAGCAGAAATAAAGAGGGCCTCAGAAGCCTTACAAAAATAACCATGGATAAAAGAAGACGGTGAAAACTTGGTGGAAAAATCAAAGGGGGAACAGATTCCACTGTCGCCTTATCTTGAATGAGCCAAGCATTCTTAACTGATGAGACGTCGTCATAGTCAATCAGCGAGCCTTACCTTTCTTAAGGAGCTTTGGCTGATATGCCAGTGGGAGGGAAAGAATGACTTGACTTGAAAATATGCTCTTCAAGTGTATTCAGTGCTCCTGTCCTAACAGCCACCCCTGGACAGGATGCAACAGACAGGATGTTGGGCCAGCTTTAATCAGCTCAAGGCTTTGATTTCATGCATCTGTTTATTTTGTGCTTTGCCTCCTCACCCAAATGTGTTGTTGAAATGTTGCCGGTTGTGGAGCCTGTCATTAAGAAGAGACCCAAGCAAGATTTAATATGCCCGTTGAAAAGGCGGCCCAATGCCTGCTTTCCTCCCCCCGCACTTCTTGATCTATCCATCTGCTAATCACTCACACCTTCAGACTTCCCTCGCACTGTCATGTACCTCATCCCTTTCCTGCCCCCCTAACAATCACATTCATGTCATCTATTATTTTAGGAGGTATTCTTTAACAGTGGGGGAGGGAGTTTGTATGAGTCACAGATTCCTGAGTAAAGATTCACATGGCAACATCTGTTTTTTGAGGCTGCGTGGGTGGCTCTCATTACCTACCTGGACAAAGCCCAAAGGTGTATCCTGACGTGTTAATATATTCACCAGCCCAGGCGGTGTTTACTCTCATCAGTTATTTTGACACAAAATCCACAAATAGTGGCCACAAAGGGAAAACTCAGTTATCTGCACAGACTCTGCAGGTGCAATGTAAATCTAAACCATACACGGATCCCCTTTTACCACTTATCCTGTTCATGTGTGCCTGAGCCTATGCCAGCTGACTATGGGTGAGAAGAAGCAATGACAAACTCTCGCCCATCATACATTTTGATGACACAGACAAAAGAAACACTAACACATGTCAAGCAAGTATAACAATTTATATCTCTAATAAGATAAAACCAAATACTTACTCTTAACATGAAAGTCTATTCCTGGTGTAGGGCAAGTTGTCAAACTCAAGGGTCGGGGGCCAGATTTGGCCCATCACATCATTTTATGTGGCACGCAAAAGCAAATCATGCATGTCAACTTCCATGATCCTTGCTAAAATCTGTATCAAAATGTCAAATTGTCATGTGTAATAAATAAGATTGGAGATTTTGCAATAATTTTGTCACCCTGTTTATACTCACTTAAACAATGATTGAACAAACGATTATAGTTGACTTGAGTGATTTCAAAACTAGTAATCCATCCATTTTTTGTTTACACGTAACAATACAAGGAGACAATAAAACATGTATTTGGCTTCACTGTCATAACGGTCCTCTGATGGAAGACGTAACTCCACAATGGCCCGCGATTAAAATGAGCTTGACACTCCTAGTTTAGGGTGTTTAGCGTCACAGAAGTGTTTCAAAAAGTAAATTAATCCCTGTTCACTTTAACAATGACTAACACTATAGTTGACCTTTTGTCACTTTGAAGAAGGTAGCTGAGATTTTTTTATATCCAAGCCCCAAGGTCAAATCACTGATTATTTTGCAGTGCTCCTAGAAGTGTCAACTGAACTTTGAGGTTTTGCAGCAAGATAGGCAGGAAGGTGGAGCAGAAGTTACGACATCTGCCTCGAAGTTCGGAGGCTCTGGGTTTGAATCCTCCTGTGTGTACATTCTCCCTGCGCTTGCATGGACTTTCTCCGGGAACTGCAGCTCACTCCCACATTCCAAAAACACGCACGCTAGGTTAATTGAAGACTCCAAACTGCCCATGGGTGTGAATCTGAGCATGAGAGGTTGTTTGTCTCTTGTTCTCTGCAACTGAGTGGCAATCATTCAGTCCACGTTCTACTTCACCTCTCGCTCAAAGTCTGCTGTGATAGTCTGCAGCTCAGCCACACCTTTGTAATAAGGAAGGGTGATAGGCCTACACAAAATGGAATAAGGGATGAATGGAAAAGTCAAGTCCTTGGTCCACATTCCTTTTCTGGAGAAACTTAAACCACAGTTTGTGCATTTTGGTTTTGCATGGTTAGCACTCAAGTGCAGGGAAGTAGAGAAGAAGACTTGGGAGTCAGAGAAATCTAACAAAATGTGTACTCAAACAATAGTCAAAATACTAAATTAACAAAGTAAAAAAAAGTACAGTAACAACACCAACAGATATACTGATTTCGAAGCATGTATCATGTCATCATCACGCCTAAAATCAACTTTTATTTCCACTTATATCCAACGACGCAAATTTTATTCGATCCAGCCAGCCTTTTTTTGATTCTGAGCTGAGTCAGCACAGCTTGTCTAATAACAGGGCATAAAGTGGCACAATGACATTGGGGTGTGCAATTAGCTAATGCAACTGCACAGCCATTCAGAGCCAAACCAAGTATGTTAAGGAGGCAGTCATGATGATGCTGCACTTTTTTTAAGGTCCCTGGCTCGGTTCATCTCTGCCACACACACATCAGTGCGTTGATTTAAAGGGCCGTTACAAAGACAGACACTGAGTCCTTGTGTAGAAATCCCTCTCTCCTCTAGCGAGACGTACAGTAAAGATCAAGAACGATTGGCAATCCATGGAAGACCGTACTGAGGAAAGCTAAAACCAGTTAAATCTAACTTCTGTAACTCCTGTTCATAAAAAGTCTTTGGATTCTTAGTGCTCATTGAGGGATTCCAATTTCGAGAAAGACACTTCGCAGGCTGGGTACTTCAATGCCTTCAAAGGTTCTTCCTCATGTAGCCGCCACGGACCGCATAAACCATGGCAAGTTTGGACAGGCTCAATGTTAATTTGGACACCAGGTGTGGTCGAGCTGCAACATAAGTAATGTCATTGTGGCAGAAAATGCGGCCTTTGAAGAGCCCGGCCTGTGAATTTAGACACAGCCAATTGTGTGTCAGTCTTGTGATTGACAGGTGATCAGTACAGATGAACCCTGCCTCTCACCTGATTTGGTAAACTGTCCCCCCTTTAAAGCCCCGTGAAGGTTAAGCATCACAGAAAATTAATCGATCAACGGCAAAACAAA